TGTTGCTTCTTCCATGGGCAAGTCAAACTAGTGCCCAAGTCGACCAACAAAGTGACGTCCACGTCTACTCATGGCTGAACTAAAATCATGTGAAATGTATGCTGTTTTAGTTTCATCTTGTACTTGTGAGTTGGGACTTGAGAATTGAGAACTGAGAGTGAGAGTGTGAGACCTTAATGTTTGTTGTTTGCTGCTGAATTGAAATCATGTACTGGACTTGGTTTGCTTCATGTCAAGTGCTATGATGTCAAGTACGAAGAGGTGATTTGTTTGCTGCTTGTCGATTCCATGGGCTGATGTTACTTGATCTTCTTACTTTTTGCTGTCAAATATAAACATGTTGTCTCTGTACAAACATGTGTACACAAATTTGTATACACATATACCTCTGTACTCTATGTAGTTTGCATACAAATGTTACTGGAAGTAATATAAATCTAAGTTCTAGCAATTAATTTGGTCTGTTTGGTCGGGACCGAAGACCGAATAGTAAAGACCGAAGACCGAATAGTAAAGAACCGAAAAGACCGAAATTATTTCGGTCTTTAATTATGAAAGACCGAACTTTTGAAAGACCGAAAAGACCGGACCAAACAAACCGAAAAGACCGAACGCCCGGGGCTAGTGGTAGGTAGGTGGAGTAATAAAACAGCCCAGTCTAGGCCCACATTGTATACATAATGGTTTTAGGCCCAAAAATAAACTAGTACAACATTTCTAGTTTCAGGAAAACAACCTAAAGAAATAAAATAGTTCTTCACTGCATTACTTAAGATAGATAGGTTCTTAACAGTACAATAACATAAGCCAGACTTAGCAAAGGTTCTCCACCACTCTAGTTACCATAACTTAAACAATTCATATAGGACTGCACAAAATATACTCCTACCATCATCTTGCAAGGCTTGTTATATGTGTAGCACACCTTACTTACTTAACCACCATCGTCCAAATCTTCAAGCCTCCAGTATGGCCTTGATTTCCTCAAGCTTTTCCTTGCTCCCATGGCCAGCATTCAGCAGATCAGCAACTACTTTCTCAAGCTCTATCTTCTCTTGTGCAAGAAGATCCCTGTCCACCTTTATCTCTTTCATTGCCTTCCTGGTGTTGTGAATTATGTCTGCCTGAGCCTGAAGGATACACCTTTGTTCTTTTGCTAGCCTTAGCTTCTCCATCTTCATCTCCAGCTCTAGCTCTTCCTTCTGCTTCTCAAATTTCTTAGCATCCATTGCTTTCTGGTAGTCAATCTTGCCAACACCATCCTGCCAGTCAAACATCTTACTAACATCATCAACCATTTTATGATACTCAGTGCAGAGATGATCATAGTCCTTCTTCAACTTGGCAACCTCATCCTCATATGCATGCTTGTCTTGAATCCTTCCAAGGTTTTGCTCATGGAACATTTCCCACAACTTGATGAGGCAGTTCTTAAGTACATCAGGCCAGGCAGGATCAACCCACTGAACTACACCACAATTCACACCTCCCTGTAGTTTGATCAGAGAACACATACTTCAAAAAATGCATAAATTCAGTTCTAACTTCAATTCAAAAAGAGGATTGGTACACAAGGAGGACATGTAACCATAAATTCAGTACTAAATTCAGTTCAAACAGAGTTAATGTACAAATTCAGTAACCACATGGCATAACTGAATCCACTAGGCATAACTGAATCTAGACATTAACTGAATCCACTAGGCATAACTGAATCCACCCAGCATACTCAATTACTCACCTGAACAGGGCATCCATAGAACCTCCTCCCAGTGTTAGCACCTTCAAAAGCAACACACTTCCTAGGCTTCATATCGTGCAAAGTACACTTGGCAACTTCCTCCATGGGAGCACCACACCAGAGTGGCTCTGGGATGGCGTCAGGTGTGTCCTACATGCAGTAAAAGGTAGATCAGAACCAATGCATCAACTAGTTCAACTTGAGTCAAGCTTTGCCTTGCTCAAGGTCAGATCAGACATCACAGTGCATCCATACCCTAGATCAAAACTAATAGATAACCAAACCAAACGAATCCATCCATACAAATATGCAGCTCATCAACCCTCATTCCCAAATCGATTCAACCCTAACACTAACCCTAGATAATGACAGAGAGGAGGAGGATGAGGCTTACAAAGTACTCCATGTCCATCAGGTTGCCCACCATGCTGTCGTCGGAGATCTCATCCCCATCATTCCAAGAAGGCATCCTGGCCGGCGACGAGGAACTGAGGTGGTCGGCGACGATGGAGAGCTCGGCCAGGGGAAACAGAGCGAGGGGGGAGAGTGAGAGTGAGTGAGCACGAGGGAGACAGAGTGAGGGCCGGATCCGTTTTTACCTGGTCGGGACGGCCCGTGCGCCCGAACGACCGTCACCCGTGCACCGTGAGCACTGTGGCCGACAAAACCCTGACAGGCGGGCCCCACATGTCATAACCCCAGTTAAAACTTAACCGTTCGGACACTTGTTTTTTTTTGGAACAACCAGCCACTTTTGTGGTAGTTTTTGAAAAATAAAAAAAAACGGTAGTTTTTCGGAACGATAGCCCGTAATGTGGTAGCTTTTTGCTATTCACTCAAGGGCGCGCGGTGGGCGCGAATTTTCATTTCTTTTCATTATAATCTTTTAGGATTGGTGTAAGTGGTGCTACTGCTCAGGTGCTCAACGATTTTTATTTTAAAAACTAGGAGATTGCGTCAAAATGGAGAGTTTCTGTTAAAAGCATGACGAAACGAGAGGGGTTCGGCTTCCTCCCAGTTTTATGTTCCACTGAAGATTCTGACCAAAAGAGATTCAGAGGGCGATGCACCTGTCCCTGAACGTCCTCTTGCTATACATATCATTTGTAGAAACCTGCAGAGTGTTATTGGTTCTAGCACAACCGTAACAAATATGGTTCCTACCAACAACAACAAAAAGGTTCCTCGCGCTTCTGCTCCTTCTTTTGTTTCTTTCCTTCACATGTGTTTGAGAGTTCATGGTTATAAATTAAACCAAGTGGTTAGTTTGGAGTTGAAATGTGGACTTTTCTCAAAAATAATCACCATAACATGGTTTATATCTTTATTTCTTAGACCACATAGAGGTAACCACACCAAGTGGCATAGACACTCTTATGGCTATTTTCATACCATAATATGCATACTTTCATTTTTGCTTTGAGGTAATCACTACTAAGTAGTGTACACCTTACTCTTATGGTACTGTGTAAAACGTTGTGTTAATTAAAAGCACTATGAAGGACCAAGGGGCAGTGTAGACCTCACAATTGTGAACAAAGCCATACATTGTCATAAATGCAATCCATAAGATATGTGAAAAAATTAATAGTATTCATATCATTTTCTTGGTTTTCGCCCGATTTTCTATAAATTAACTCGGCAATTATCTTCTTCTTAATTAATCGATGAGGCAAAACTTTTGCCTCCGTTTCGAAATATATATATATATCATTTTCAAGCTTAATCAACATATAGTAATTAAAATTGCATCCATATATATGTTTACAGAAAATGTGCAGACATCACATAGCAATATGTTAGGAATAACTAACAAACACAGATGTAGAGAAAATTGAGAAACCTAAACCTAATTGAAAAATAAAACAATTTTTTTGTTTGCAATAGGCCTGCCAAAATATGATAGCCCACTATTCATGGCTCAAGCCATCTTTCTTTTCGTTTTTGAAAATTTTTCTTGCTGCTCGTACAAGCATAGGCTAGTGCCCGACTAGGCCTAGCATGATGGCTTTCCAGCAGATGATTACATGATTTATGAAAGGGGAACCAACGCTATGAAGAGGCACGTCTGTTCGTGGGGACGTTGGGAGCGTCGGACGGTTGCCACTTGCCAGATTGCTAACGGCATGAGGGATTAGGCTGGTCATAGTGGGGAGTAACTTATACTAGTGTCATGCATATGACACTAATCTAAGGCCCTGTTTGGTTCATAAGTCCTAGGACTTTTTTTAGTCCCAACTTATAAGTCCCAAGTCCCTAAAAAGTCTCTACCTGTTTGGTTCCTGGGACTTATAAGTCTCTATAAGACCATATTACAACTATAAGTCCCTATAAGTCCCTCATTGAGAGTCTTATTTTATAAGTCTCAAATGCCCACTTTAAGTCCCTATAAGTCCCTTCTGTTTGGTTTAGATGGGACTTATAGGGACTTTTTAAGTCCCTAAACCAATAAGTCCCTGAAAACAAACACCCTCTAAGTTACTACCTTCATAGTGCAAAGTAACATACTAGTAGTGTCATATGTGGCTTTATTTAATGGCTTGTAGACTCATCTTATCTTGGGAAGCGCTATGTTACAGTAACATATTATGTTACCACTTCTCATTAATTACATGCCACATAAGCAAAAAATTCTTAAAATGTGTTATGTTACTACCTAAGTTACTCCCACTATGACTAGCCTTAGAATTGAGGAAGGATTGTCCTGCAATTATGAGAATAATTAAATCATATAGTAACACTTTTCATGATGGAACCGGTGTTTCTCCCCGGTCCGGCGATGGTTGGGGAGCGCATGAAGGAGACATTCGTGTGTGGAGGGTGAGAAGAACATGGGAGGTTGAACCACTACAAATAGGAGAAGTTACTATGACACACCACTCAGTGTGAGACGTGCGCGGCGGACGGCGACCGACCCTACCCCCTCCCCGGGCCAGTCGCCGACCATGGAGAAGTAGCCTGCGGGGGAGGCGCGCGAATCCCATGGGACCACACGGAAGCAGGCACAGAGCGGTGAGACCACCGACGATTTCATCAGCAACCCTCCCCCCTCCCGATGACATCCTCGGCACCATCATCTCCCTCCTCCCAACCAAGGATGGCGGCCGCACGACGGTCCTTTCCAGCCAATGGTGCCACCTCTGGCGCTCTCTGCCTCTCAACCTCAAGGTCAACATCTGACTCCCCGGCGCCGCCGGCCCCGTCCCCACCCCCTCCCGCGTCCCACCCTCCATCGTCTCCAAGATAATCTCCCAACACCATGGCCCCGCACGCCGGTTCTCCTTCCACTGACCGCTGCGCCCAGGCGGAGAGCTGGCTTCATTCCCAGGCCCTCGCCAACCTCGAGGAGCTTGATATCGCTTATGGCATATGCAAACCCGAAATGTAAAGAAGCAAATTCAGTATAAAGAGAAAGATATTTGCTAATAAGAAAAATGCACGCAATAGAAGAGCACGACAACCAAAGTAAAACAAGCAAGAAAGACAGGCGAGTCGAACCTGTCCAGCCGAAGAGGGCAAGGCGAAGCGAACGAACAAAGAACCTGTGGATGGGAAAAAACAAGAAACAAGGGTACATCAACTTACACACATTTCGTCTAACAGAAGGAGAGCAAGGAAGAAGGTACCTCCTAGAGCAGCCACTCGCATACGACACCGGGATTGATTGATCTGCAGTAAGAAGGAAACGAAGAGCACAGTAAGCAGCGGAATCTAGTACAGCAGAAGACAAAGAGGAACGGGGAAAGCAAAGAATTTGCAAGTGTGTTGAGCAGAAGAAGAAAGGCCAAGCTGCTATCCAGCGCTGTCACACGAAGCGCGGCCGTCCGAACGCAGGTGTAGAGCGAGAGCCCGCCAACCTCTGCGTCCAAGAGGGCGTTGAGCCCCGAGACAGAGCAGCACATCATATGTGCCCTTCTCCTTGCCGCCGGCAAACAGGAGTCGGTGGCGAGGCGGCGGCCGGTCGGCATCACCTCTTACACTCCGCCGTGGATCCGTCACTGATGCCTGACCTTTGGCCACCCTCGTTACTCCTCCCACTGCAACGGCTCCCTTCCTTCTTGATCTACCATCCTTTTACTTGTCGCCTCGTCGTTAATCCACTCCTCCCCTACAGCTGAACTCCGGCGCGGGTAGAGATGGGGGCTACTCGAACTCTATCGCGGGCAGGGATTGGGGCTACTTGGGGCGGGGGGAAGGTCTTCGGGTGCGGCGGCTCTGGCGAGATGGGAAGAGCGGAGGGAGGCGGCGGCTGCACTAGGAGTAGAGAGCGCTGAGCGGGAAAGGAGGGACGCGGGGGACCGCTCCGACCCGGCCGCCCGCCATGGGGTCGCCGCCGCGCCCGCACGCCTGGGAGCTTTTTCCTCTCACTGTCCGCTGCTTTTTTCGCTCGCTCGCGTGCTGCCTCGACACTATTCATTGCCTACATGGACGCGGCGGTTGTGCCTAGCGCCCCGTTCATCCTTTATATGTTTGATATGTGTTGCCGGCGTTATGTTTATACAGAGTCAAGTTTGCTAGCTGTAGCGTTTCAAATAAGATCCACACATGAAGGCCTTCTTTGATTCGTAGGATAAGAATGTTATAGAAATAGGAAAATAATAGGAAGTAAGATGACATGCATTTCAATTCCTATAGAGAAAGAGATGTCATTTGGTGCATAGGATATGAATTTTTCCATTAAGTCTTAGTTAATATTTTTTTTCTCCAAAATGTGAAGGAGTACATAGAAATAAGATCCATTCCTACAAAACAAATGGCTTTAAAGAAAATTTTCCTATGCAAATCCTATCCTGTAGAAATCCTATGAGATTCCTACAAACTAAAGATGGCCGAATTGTGAATCACCCGCCCATGGAAGCAAGACCTCTTTTGGTTCGTAGGATAGGATTATTATAAGAATAGAAAATTTGTAGGAAATGAGATGACATGTATCTCAAATCCTATAAGTAGGAATAGGAAATGAGATGTCATTTGGTTCACACCAAAGGATTTTTTCCATTGAGTCTATGCTCATTTTTATTTTCCTATGAAATATGGAGGATAGGAACCAATCCTATATAGGAATAGAAATCCATCCCTATAAACCAAAGGGCTCTTAAGGAAAAAAATCCAATAAAAATCCTATCCTTTAGAATTCTTATGAAATTCTTCCAAATCAAAGGAGGCCTAAGTTTGTTTACTGGACTGCTTTTTTTTTTTTCTGTTGATGATGTATCGATTCTACTGTCTGTATTCTGCTCACACTCTTGTCATTTAAGTCGGTTATTTTTGGGAACGGTTCAGTTCATCCATTTTTCAGCTAGTTTTGGTGTGGTCGATGGTTCGTGTCCTCGTGATTTAATGCTGGCATGATTCGCATGAAACGTGGTACTCAATCGCTTGGCTGCATGCAAAATCCCCAAGTTAATGCGGGAGAGTGTGTGAGTCAAGTCCCCGGTTGAATATAGGAGGCACCGCTGCCTACCGAGCTCCCCCCAGAACCCAGTGAGCTGCGGCGGGCGGCGGCCAGGCCAACCCTATCCCTCCGTCCCGGTTCCGACTTGCCGGTCGCTGGTCATGGAGAAGGAGGGGGCCGCGGGTACCCATGGGACCGCAGCGAAGCGAGCACGGAGTGTCAACTCCGGCGTGACCGCCGCGGCCGATTTCATCAGCAGGCTCCCCGACGCCATCCTCGGCACCATCATCTCCCTCCTCCCCACCAAAGACGGCGGCCGCACGCCGGTCCTCTCTCACCGGTGGCGCCACCTCTGGCGCTCCGCGCCTCTCAACCTCGAGGTCAGCACCCTATCCCCCGGCGTCCCCACCTCCTCCCGCGTCCCACCCTCCGCCGTCTCCGACATAATCTCCAAGCACCCTGGCCCCGCCCGCCGATTCTACTTCCTCTGCCGCGGCGCCGGCGAGGGCGGTCTCCACGCCCAGGCGGCGAGCTGGCTTCACTCCCCGGCCCTCGCCCACCTCCAGGAGCTCGATATCAGCAACGCCAACCCCCCGCTGCTGGAATCAGTGCTCCGCTCTGCGTCCACCATCCTGGTTGCCAAGATCGACCATTGCGATTTCCCCTTCGAGATCGCGCCGCCCATGAATTTCCCCAATCTCAACAAGCTCACCCTGTTTAACATTTCCATCTCAGAGGAGGTCTTCCACAGACTGCTCTCCGGCTGCCATGCCTTGGAAAGCTTATACATGGCCGATTTTCGTGCTCCGGGTCGCCTCCGTGTGATCTCGCCGACTATTAGGAGCATCATCTTCCGTCATAGCAAAAAAGTGGAACTGGTCATCGAGGATGCTCCTCGTCTTCTAAGGTTACTGTTAACTGATTGTAACCGTGATGATCGCGTCACTATCAGGGTAATTAGGGCGCCTAATCTGGAGATATTGGGCCCTTTCTTAGTGGTCGTCTCAAAGCTCCTACTCTTCAAGGTAGCAGCAGCAGCGTCATCTTCTAATTAATGTTGCATTCGGCATTCGTACATGTAGATAAATATACTTTATATGTTCATTATTTGTTTTCTTCAGGGAATAAGCTCAGTCAGCTCCACAAACTCGATGCGCACTGTGAAGGTTTTTGCTCTCAGGTCTTCTGGAGATAAGCTGGATGCAGTTCTTAACATCCTCAAGTGGTTCCCCTGTTTGGAAAAGCTCTATGTCACTGTGAGTACTTATTTCTCTCATTTGTTTGACCTATGATGTTATCTAGTTAGCGACAGTTTTAAGTTTTAACATATGCCTCCCTTCCCATTTCGCAGTTTCGTCGATGCAGGGATAAGAGAATTGAGCCTCCGTATGACCCACTACATCCAATTGAATGCCTTGAGACACATCTAAAAAAAGTAGTGTTCAAGTCATTCTTTTGCTATGGGAAACAGCTTGAATTTGCGAGGTTCTTTGTATTGAATGCAAAGGTGCTAGGCATAATTGAATTTGAAGTATATAATGAGTACAGCAGTGAAACGGCGGCTTATCAGCGGATGCTGCTACAAGTGGAAAACAGAGCTTCCCGAGATGCTCGGTTTGAATTCAGGATTAGCCCTACTAAATATGGACTGATTGACATGTGTTGAGTTCAGGAATACTTCATACAGACCGAGTGCCTTGTTAAGAAGCATATCCATGATTTGTCAGTGGCAAGCCCCTTCAAAAAGCCATAGTCTGGGTTGATGCCTGAAGATTGCACTGTCTTGTGCTCATTTTGTAGATGGGGTTGATGCCTGAAGATTGCCTCGTCTTCCTTCGCATAAGTCTGCTCTATTTCTAGTCTAATAAAGTTCCTCTGTAATAGTTCCAGTAACTTATGAAGTTACCCCTGTTAAAACTGGAAAAAGATGTCCCTGAATGCAAAAATAGTGCACTATGGAAATTTTCCGTGGGGAGGGAAAAATATTACTGCCGAAAGTTGTAACAGGACGGAGAGGCAGGTGGTAACCCCATCCGCTGAAGCTACTCCTATGGTCTTACCATATGCAGTTGTGAACATCTTGTGTTGAACAAATTTGAGCAGGATCAGCATTGGATTGGGCTGAGAACCTGAAAGTGAAAATAATGTTGGCTTTGACAGGGATCGTTGTGTGTGCTGCATTGTTGGCTTTGTTAACTTGTTCTCTGCATTGTTGCCACAAAGATTTAGTTTTTATACACATGTTTATTGCTTGCAAAACAAGGCTTTCACGGGAACTTTATCACTGGGTGGGTAGGTTATATGGTGTGGAGCTATAGTGTTTATAGAGCGGAAGTATTGGGAAAATCGTACTAGTAGCTGTTGGTACTATATATATTCCGGTGATGGCTGTGAAAGAGGGAGCGACTTTCTGGTGGACGCCGGCTCGTGTGGACTGTATCCTAGCCATAGAACGATTCCTCGAGATGCTCAAACATCACTTCCCTGTCTCTCATACTAGTTTCCTAGCAGCAGGGTGTAGGTGGCACCGGCGTACAAGCTTGGCACAAGTGTATCCTCGCGTGGATCTGTACGTGCCCATGCGCAGGGAATGGAAGAAGGAGTTGGTGACCTAACGATGTACTGCTAGCTTGATGGGTGGTGTGGGCCACAATGCAGAAACTTTTTGCCTGACGTGACAAAAGGAGACCCTGCTAATGTTTCATCATGCACAGTGCGCATCTCTTGCGCACTAGTAGAAAAAGGGTCAAATGTGAAGCACATTAGTGCCGGTTTGAATTTGAGCCGGCACTAATGTGTGTATTAGTGCCGGTTTCAACGGCTAGTCGACCGCTCTCATTACTACCGATTCGTGGCGAACCTTTAGCACCGGTTCGTGCCACGAACCGGTACTAAAGTGAGTGGTGGCAGGATGTTGTCAGTCCGGGGCCCTCCAGCACCTTTAGTGCCGGGTCGTATCATGAACCGGTACTAAAGGTCGTCCTACATAGACCCTTCGTCCACCTGAGCTCGCTCTGTTCTTCCCCTTTCCCCTCTCCTCTCTGTTCTTTCCCCTCTTTCTCTAAAGCTCATCACACATTTTGCCCAAAATTTGTCAAGATTTGGAGGCCCCCATCCATTCAAATGATCACAAAGGTTAGCAACTTTGTCCTTTCATCTCTCATTGCTAGATTAACTCGTGCAATGCTTTATATAGTGATTGATTTTTTAGTTTAGTAATTTGGGAGGAATTATATATATGTGCTAGTATTTGATTTATATGCAATTTGAGGTCAAAAATAACACTTAGTTTGCATATGTAGGTGTGGTTTACTTAGTACCTTCTAAATCTCCATCGTAACCACCGTCGATCGCTCGCAACGTCCCGTCGCCGGCACCACCTTGTGGTGAGCCTCTTATTCATGAAGTTTTATATAAAAAATTGATGTTTGTGTGATTTGGATATATAGTTACTCGTATAATTATCTTATCCATGTTGGAAATATGCCCTAGAGGCAATAATAAATTGGTTATTATTATATTTCCTTGTTCATGATAATAGTTTATTATCCATGCTAGAATTGTATTGATAGGAAACTTAGATACATGTGTGGATACATAGACAACACCATGTCCCTAGTAAGCCTCTAGTTGACTAGCTTGTTGATCAATACATGGTTACGGTTTCCTGACCATGGACATTGGATGTCGTTGATAACGGGATCACATCATTAGGAGAATGATGTGATGGACAAGACCCAATCCTAAGCCTAGCACAAAGATCATGTAGTTCGTATGCTAAAGCTTTTCTAATGTCAAGTATCATTTCCTTAGACCATGAGATTGTGCAACTCCCGGATACCGTAGGAGTGCTTTGGGTGTGCCAAATGTCACAACGTAACTGGGTGGCTATAAAGGTACACTACAGGTATCTTCGAAAGTGTCTATTGGGTTGGCACGAATCGAGACTGGGATTTGTCACTCCGTGTAAACGGAGAGGTATCTCTGGGCCCACTCGATAGGACATCATCATAATGTGCACAATGTGATCAAGGAGTTGATCACGAGATGATGTGTTACGGAACGAGTAAAGAGACGTGCCGGTAACGAGATTGAACAAGGTATCGGGATACCGACAATCGAATCTCGGGCAAGTATCGTACCGCTAGACAAAGGGAATTGTATACGGGATTGATTAAGTCCTTGACATCGTGGTTCATCCGATGAGATCATCGTGGAGCATGTGGGAACCAACATGGGTATCCAGATCCCGCTGTTGGTTATTGACCGGAGAGTTGTCTCGGCCATGTCTGCATGACTCCCGAACCCGTAGGGTCTACACACTTAAGGTTCGATGACGCTAGGGTTATAGGGAAAGTATGTACGCGGTTACCGAATGTTGTTCGGAGTCCCGGATGAGATCCCGGACGTCACGAGGAGTTCCGAAATGGTCCGGAGGTAAAGATATATATATATATATAGGAAGTATGGTTTTGGCCACCGAAAGTGTTCCGGGCATCACCGGTAGTGTACCGGGACCACCGGAGGGGTCCGGGGGTCCACCGGGAGGGGCCACGGGCCCCGGAGGCATACATGGGCCAAGTGTGAGAAGGGACCAGCCCCTAGGTGGGCTGGGGCGCCTCCCCACCAAGGCCCATGCGCTTAGAAAGGAGAGGGGGCAAACCCTAGGGCAGATGGGCCCTAAGGCCCACCCTAGGTGTGCCTCCCCCTCTCCCCCTTGTGTCCGCCACCCTAGATGGGATCTAGGGCTGCCGCACCCCTTGGGGTGGGAACCCTAGGTGGGGGCGCAGCCCTCCCTCTCCCCCTATATATAGTGGAGGCAAAGGGGCAGCCCAAGACATGAAGTCCTTCCCCTGTTGGCGCAGCCCTACCCCTCTCCCTCCTCGTCTCTCGTAGTGCTTGGCGAAGCCCTGCTGGAGTCCCGCGCTCCTCCACCACCACCACGCCGTCGTGCTGCTGCTGGATGGAGTCTTCCCCAACCTCTCCTTCTCCCCTTGCTGGATCAAGGCGTAGGAGACGTCACCGGGCTGTACGTGTGTTGAACGCGGAGGTGCCGTCCGTTCGGCACTAGGATCTTCGGTGATTTGGATCAAGATGAGTACGACTCCATCAACCCCGTTCACTTGAACGCTTCCGCTTAGCGATCTACAATGGTATGTAGATGCACTCTCCTTCCCCTCGTTGCTAGATTACTCCATAGATTGATCTTGGTGATGCATAGAAAATTTTACATTTCTGCTAGGATCCCCAACAGTGGTACCAGAGCTAGGTCTATGCGTAGTTACTATGCACGAGTAGAACACAAAGCAGTTGTGGGCGTTGATATTGTCAATTATCTTGTCGTCACTAGTCTTATCTTGATTCGGCGGCATTGTGGGATGAAGCGGCCCGAACCAACCTTACACGTACGCTTACGTGAGACCGGTTCCACCGACTGACATGCACTAGTTGCATAAGGTGGCTGGCGGGTGTCTGTCTCTCCCACTTTAGTCGGATCGGATTCGATGAACAGGGTCCTTATGAAGGGTAAATAGAAATTGGCAATTCACGTTCTGGTTTTGGCGTAGGTAAGAAACGTTCTTGCTAGAAACCTATAGCAGCCATGTAAAAACTTGCAACAACAATTAGAGGACGTCTAACTTGTTTTTGTAGCAAGTGTTTTGTGATGTGATATGGCCAAAGGATGTGATGAATGATATATGTGATGTATGAGATGATCATGTTCTTGTAATAGGAATCACGACTTGCATGTCGATGAGTATGACAACCGGCAGGAGCCATAGGAGTTGTCTTTATTTATTTATGACCTGCTGTCAACATAAACATCATGTAATTACTTTACTTTATTTCTAAAGCGTTAGCCATAGTAGTAGAAGTAATAGATGACGAGACAACTTCAAGAAGACACGATGATGGAGATCATGATGATGGAGATCATGGTGTCATGCCGGTGACAACGATGATCATGGAGCCCCGAAGATGGAGATCAAAAGGAGCAAATGATATTGGCCATATCATGTCACTATTTGATTGCATGTGATGTTTATCATGTTTTACATCTTATTTGCTTAGAACGACAGTAGATTAAATAAGATGATCCCTCGCAATAATTTCAAGAAAGTGTTCCCCCTAACTGTGCACCGTTGCGAAGGTTCATTGTTTCGAAGCACCACGTGATGATCGGGTGTGATAGATTCTAACGTTCGAATACAACGGGTGTAAGCCAGATTTACACACGCAATACACTTAGGTTGACTTGACGAGCCTAGCATGTACAGACATGGCCTCGGAACACGCAAGACCGAAAGGTCGAACATGAGTCGTATAGAAGATACGATCAACATGAAGATGTTCACCGATGATGACTAGTCCGTCTCACGTGATGATCGGACACGGCCTAGTTGACTCGGATCATGTATCACTTAGATGACTAGAGGGATGTCTATCTGAGTGGGAGTTCATTAAATAATTTGATTAGATGAACTTAATTATCATGAACATAGTCTAAATTGTCTTTGCAAATATGTTGTAGATGAATAGCTCACGTTGTAGCTCCCTATTTCAATACGTTCCTAGAGAAAGATTAAGTTGAAAGATATTGTAAGCAATGATGTAGACTAGGTCCATAGTCTGAGGAGTGTCCTCACTGCTACACAGAAGGCTTAC